TATGAGCTGGTTGTTACCTACATGTGAGCTGATTGTTACCAGCATGTAAGCTGGTTGTTACCTACATGTGAGCTGATTGTTACCAGCATGTGAGCTGGTTGTTACCTGCATGTGAGCTGGTTGTTACCTACATGTGAGCTGGTTGTTACCTACATGTGAGCTGATTGTTACCAGCATGTGAGCTGGTTGTTACCTGCATGTGAGCTGGTTGTTACCTACATGTGAGCTGATTGTTACCAGCATGTGAGCTGGTTGTTACCTGCATGTGAGCTGGTTGTTACCTACATGTGAGCTGGTTGTTACCTACATGTGAGCTGATTGTTACCAGCATGTGAGCTGGTTGTTACCAGCATGTGAGCTGGTTGTTACCTACATGTGAGCTGATTGTTACCAGCATGTGAGCTTGTTGTTACCTACATGTGAGCTGATGGGTACCTACATATGATCTGGTTGTTACCTACATATGAGCTGGCTGTTACCTACATGTGAGCTGGCTGTTATATGTGAGCTCGCTGTTACCTATGCGTGAGCTGCTTGTTACATGTGAGCTGGCGTTTACCTGTGTGTCAGCTGTTTGTTATCTACACGTGAAGTGACTGTTTTCTATATATGAGCTGCCTGTTACATACGTGTGAGCTGGCTGTTACTTACGTGTGAGCTGGTTGTTACCTACATGTGAACTAGTTGTTATCTATATGTGAGCTGGTTATTACCTATATGAGAGCTGGTTGTTACATACATGTGAGCTGACTGTTACCTACATGTGAGCTGGCTGTTACCTACATGTGAGCTGGCTACTACATACAGGTGAGCTGGCTGTTACCTATATGTGAGCTGGTTGTTAGCTATGTGTGAGTTGGCTGTTACCTCTATGTGAGCTGGTTGTTAACTACGTGTGAGCTGGCTGTTACCTCTATGTGAGCTGGTTGTTAACTACGTGTGAGTTGGCTGTTACCTATATGTGAGCTGGTTGTTAACTAGGGGTGAGCTGGCTATTAAATACATGTGACAAGGTGTTACGGACTCGTCGCCCTTGTCAGGGGGTAGAGTGGCAGTTCCAGCGCCATCTAAGAGTCCGCACCCGAACTCCCCCGGGAATAGTACGTAATGTGGACAATGCCATCTGGTGGTGGTTATCCAGTACTTGCAGATTCCTGCCTTGGTCAGCCAGAGGAGTCGTTGTGAGTGACCTCTGGTGAGGTGACGCGTCACGACCAGCGCCACCTAGTGTGTGCTACAGAGCACAATGTCAACTCGCCAGTGGGTTAGTGGCATTTCCTAGTTTCACCAGTACCGGCAAGGTAATTGATGACATTTTTGTCCACAGAGGTGACGTCTGGGGGCAGCGGTACTGGAGACGGCAGTTCATCTTGGGGCCAAACGACCAAGTAAGCCGCCGCCGATGAAGCAGTGTGGTAGCTGCAAGTGCTTTAGTGGTAAAAAGATCGGCGTACCTTTGGGACTGGCTTAGGGAAGAGACTTACGACAGGGAGGTGCCTGTTGAGTAGTGCTGCTAGCTGGTCGCTAGAGACTGCTGCCAGGGGATCGCTACCCCTGTACTGGTTTGTGACCCCGCTCAGAGTGTGGCTGAGGTCCTCTGCCAGCGAGCAGCTGGAGAGCGGTCGTTGGGGTAAATGCACCTCATAACACTATCAGTGGGCTGACCCACGTATAGGTGAACTCGCCGGTGATCTTCCCAGTAAGGTTGGATACGCTACTGGACAGTGAAGAAATACTGGGGATTGGTGAACTCTGCACGTGAGCACGTTTAATATCCTGAGCGAAAGGATTGTTCATAGGTGTAGAAATAGCCTATCTGTTCTTTATATATTATTTATGGTGACGGTGTACCTATATATACTTAACGATGGCGGAAAGATATTTAATACATTGACGAAAGGAACAGTGTTTTGTTCATCCCCTCCATTTTTTATGCACCACATAGCCACTTTCTTGAAAGCATACTACCGACTTGGGGTAGGATACTATCATTTTGGTTCTACCATTAAAGAACCCGGTTACGACCCATAGTGGCTGTAACACCTGGCAGTTGCATTCATCTGAGATGGCTGTTACCTATATGTGAGCTGGTTGTTACCTAATATGTGAGCTGGTTGTTACCTAATATGTGATCTGGTTATTACATGTGAGCTAGCTGTTACCTTCATGTGAGCTGGTTGTTACCTACATGTGAACTGGATCCTACCTACATGTGAGCTGGCTGTTACCAACATGTTAGGAAGTTGTTACCTACATGTGAGATGTCTGCTAACTACGTGTGAGCTGGTTGTTACCTACATGTGATTTGGCTGTTACAAGTGAGCTAGCTGTTACACATATGTGAGCTGGCTGTTACCTATATGTGAGCGGGCTGATATCTATATGTGAGCTTGCTGTTACCAACATGTGAGCTAGCTGTTAGTTACGTGTGAGCTGCTGTTACCTACTTGTTAGTTGGTTGTTACCTACATATGAGATGGCTGTTACCTTCATGTGAGCTTGCTGCTACTTACATGTGAGCTGTTGTTACCTACATGTGAGCTGTCTGTTAACTACAATTGAGCTGGTTGTTACATACATGTGAGCTGGTTGTTATATATATATATATGAGCTGGTTTTTACCTAGATGTGAGCTGTCTGTTACCTACAAGTGAGCTGGCTGTTACCTACAAGTGAGCTGTCTGTTACCTACAAGTGAGCTGGCTGTTACCTACAAGTGAGCTGTCTGTTACCTACAAGTGAGCTGGCTGTTACCTACAAGTGAGCTGTCTGTTACCTACAAGTGAGCTGGCTGTTACCTACAAGTGAGCTGTCTGTTACCTACAAGTGAGCTGTCTGTTACCTACAAGTGAGCTGTCTGTTACCTACAAGTGAGCTGGCTGTTACCTACAAGTGAGCTGGCTGTTACCTACAAGTGAGCTGGTTTTTACCTAGATGTGAGCTGTCTGTTACCTACAAGTGAGCTGGCTGTTACCTACAAGTGAGCTGTCTGTTACCTACAAGTGAGCTGGCTGTTACCTACAAGTGAGCTGTCTGTTACCTACAAATGAGCTGGCTGTTACCTACAAGTGAGCTGTCTGTTACCTACAAGTGAGCTGTCTGTTACCTACAAGTGAGCTGGCTGTTACCTACAAGTGAGCTGGCTGTTACCTACAAGTGAGCTGGCTGTTACCTACAAGTGAGCTGGCTGTTACCTACAAGTGAGCTGGCTGTTACCTACAAGTGAGCTGGCTGTTACCTACAAGTGAGCTGGCTGTTACCTACAAGTGAGCTGGCTGTTACCTACAAGTGAGCTGGCTGTTACCTACAAGTGAGCTGGCTGTTACCTACGCGTGATCTGTTACATACACGGGAGCTCTTTGTTACCTACATGCGAGCTGTCTGTTACCTACAAGTGAGCTGGCTGTTACCTACAAGTGAGCTGGCTGTTACCTACGCGTGATCTGACTGTTACATACACGGGAGCTCTTTGTTACCTACATGTGAGCTGTCTGTTACCTACAAGTGAGCTGTCTGTTACCTACAAGTGAGCTGGCTGTTACCTACATGTGAGCTGGCTGTTACCTACATGTGAGCTGGCTGTTACCTTCATGTGAGCTGGTTGTTACCTACATGTGAGCTGGCTGTTACCTACATGTGAGCTGGCTGTTACCTTCATGTGAGCTGGTTGTTACCTACATGTGAGCTGGCTGTTACCTACATGTGAGCTGGTTGTATATATTCGTTGTGTTATATATGAGAACTGAACAAAGAGTAAAAACTGTTGTAGGAAATTCATCTTCATCAAACTGACGTCATTCATATCTCTGGGTTATCTATATCCGGCCGCTCCAGTACGATAAACTCTTAAGCTTATTTTTGCTTCACCTGTGACCTTTACGCTTGAAGGTCACACTTTCTTACACTCTCCCTGAAGATATATTTACACTTGTAATTCTCACTTGCAGAACATTCTTAGACAATACTCACACAAGCTGTGTCCAGTACAGTCACTAACAGGGTGTTTCTCTAACTTTTATACTGAACTTTCCCTGAGGAAAATTGAGGAAAAAATTTGAAGATTGCGGAGAGTCGAGGGACCCTTTTGACACATCCTGTCTCTGGAGGAAACTGCGCTCTTGGTGTGGTAGAGTTCTTCACAGTCACCCAGTGATCCTTCACCAGACTGGTGCCCTGTGAGTAGTCAGTCCCCGTGATCCTTCACCAGACTGGTGCCCTGTGAGTAGTCAGTCCTCGTGATCCTTCACCAGACTGGAGCCCTGTGAGTAGTCAGTCCCCCCCCCTCCGTGATCCTTCACCAGACTGGTGCCCTGTGAGTAATCAGTCCTCGTGATCCTTCACCAGACTGGAGCCCGGTGAGTAGTCAGTCCCCGTGATCCTTCACCAGACTGGAGCCCGGTGAGTAGTCAGTCCTCGTGATCCTTCACCAGACTGGTGCCCTGTGAGTAATCAGTCCTCGTGATCCTTCACCAGACTGGTGCCCTGTGAGTAATCAGTCCTCGTGATCCTTCACCAGACTGGAGCCCGGTGAGTAGTCAGTCCCCGTGATCCTTCACCAGACTGGAGCCCGGTGAGTAGTCAGTCCTCGTGATCCTTCACCAGACTGGTGCCCGGTGAGTAATCAGTCCCCATGATCCTTCACCAGACTGGTGCCCTGTGAGTAATCAGTCCTCGTGATCCTTCACCAGACTGGAGCCCGGTGAGTAGTCAGTCCCCGTGATCCTTCACCAGACTGGTGCCCTGTGAGTAGTCAGTCCCTGTGATCCTTCACCAGACTGGTGCCCTGTGAGTAATCAGTCCTCGTGATCCTTCACCAGACTGGAGCCCGGTGAGTAGTCAGTCCCCGTGATCCTTCACCAGACTGGAGCCCGGTGAGTAGTCAGTCCTCGTGATCCTTCACCAGACTGGTGCCCGGTGAGTAATCAGTCCCCATGATCCTTCACCAGACTGGTGCCCTGTGAGTAATCAGTCCTCGTGATCCTTCACCAGACTGGAGCCCGGTGAGTAGTCAGTCCCCGTGATCCTTCACCAGACTGGTGCCCTGTGAGTAGTCAGTCCCTGTGATCCTTCACCAGACTGGAGCCCTGTGAGTAGTCAGTCCCCCCTCCCCCCCTCCGTGATCCTTCACCAGACTGGTGCCCGGTGAGTAATCAGTCCTCGTGATCCTTCACCAGACTGGAGCCCTGTGAGTAGTCAGTCCCCCCCCCCATGATCCTTCACCAGACTGGTGCCCGGTGAGTAATCAGTCCTCGTGATCCTTCACCAGACTGGAGCCCTGTGAGTAGTCAGTCTCCCCCCCCCCCCCCATGATCCTTCACCAGACTGGTGCATTGTTGGTGGAGAAGGGTGGGGATTGCTGGAGGGGGCCTTAGTGGGTTGGTCTTATGGGTTCGGCTGATTTGGTTGGGGAGGGGGCTGCAGAGTGGGTGGCGTACATGTAATCACAACTGAGAATGTTAGGGACCTTGTGTTGATAGCACCGTGATCATTTAATTGTGTATTACGGCCAAAGTATGATATATAGAATTATTGTGCAATACGACGCCATGGCAATATGTTTAATTAAATAGAGATAAGAAATTTGTTTTAAAACATTGTGAAGATCATGCTGGTGTGAGAGTCGGGAGTTCACAAGGGCCCTCTATGGCATGCTGCTATTCTGTACTTACTTGATTGGTGACGACTTCAACCCAGCCATGTTGAGCATATACAGTACTCAACACTAATTACTGGGAAAAACTGGGTGAGGCTACTCGCATGAATCTGGCCTCCAGACTCTGACGGACAGATAGACATTCTATTTTCATAGATATTGATGTGATTTGAAAGAATTGTTCAATATGAATTCATGTAACTTTATAATTGTTCATTATTATTATTATTATTTGCGGGGAAATCTCTCAAAATGAATTTATTTATTCATTTATTTATTTATTTATTTATTTATTTATTTATTTATTTTTAAATTATTTAATTTATTAAGTTTATTTTAATATATTATTAATTCAAAGTGGGCTGTATATATAGAAATTTTTCCTGCTAGGAGTTTTCCTTTTCACAAACTTGGGAAGGGGCGGTTAATACATATAGACTATTAATCGAAATTAACCACCTTAAAGAAATTTGCTACAATTGGTTCGTCTACAACTAATTGGGCTAGTTAAAACATAAAACAGCTTAGCATTTATGTTAAATATAATTTGGAGCAGAACTGTGCAGAACTTGTGTTTTGTGCAGAATCCAGCGTCAGGACATGTATTGTGCAGTACCAAATAATGCGGTGTTGTTATCTCCTTTTCCCCTTCAATTCCACCGTCAAATGGTCAATAATTAGCCAATATTTGACATCTATATCAGGGTAAGAGATTATGGATACCTTGATTTGACTTACCCGTTAAGGGTGACTTGTCATGCCCATAACCGGTAAGCCTTATCTACAATAATGTCCAAAAATGGTTAGATAAAATGGGCAAATCGGGTACTGAACACTTCCCTTTTGGCTAACGAAGTCGTGGTGATGATAAGAAACTCTGGTGTCCCTCAATACTAATATTCGCACTGATAATAGCTCTGAACCAAGTCACTCTCTCTGACATACGAAGGAGCTTCTGGTCCCTCGTCAGTGAGGGATGCAAGAGGGGTAAGAAATCCTCATACATCAGATGAGATGGACTTAATGGTTCACGTTGTGGGTGATCGGTAGAGAGGTATGTCAGTGGTCTGCTATTGACGTGAGATTCAATTTCTGTGACAACGGTTTAGAGCTCCTGGAGATCTATTTTTTGGCAATGGAGGGTTTTCCTTAAACAGCGTTTCACTGTTCCTACCATCCACTCATTGAAGTCTTCGTGTCACGGTGTTCTGGTGGGTACAAACTTCCTGTAGCACTGCTATTGATTCAGGCAGTGCATACCACTGGGTGATTCTGATGTCCCATTGTCTGAAATCATCAACTTTGGGCAGGATCGACTGGCAGCAAACCTGCAGAACGCCTGTATGCTAACGATTCAGCACTCATGTCGGGGGTCACTTCTAAGTGTACTCCCCTTGTTGTGGCACAGGTGAATAGGCAGATGTAAGCCTTCACTGGAACTTTGTCTTTAGTGCCTGTTAGGGTTATGGCTCCTGTGTAGTCCACGCCAGTGGTCTCAAAAGGACGAAGGTGGACAACTCTTTCCTTATGGAGTGGAGAGGGTCCTGGAAAATGACACACCGGAGCGTCGTACCTCCGGCAGACTTCACAAGATTTTAATATTGACTTTACAGTCTGACGACCTTAAGGAAGTCAGAACTGTTGTCTCAAGGAGTTGAGGGAATCTAGCACCCTACCATATATAGTGCAGTGTTTGTGTATATGTAACACAATTAGACTGCTCACTCTGAGGTTAAAGGGGGATAAACATTGAATGTTTCATTTCTAAATCTACTTAGGCGTGCTGTAAGCGGCCCCCGCACCTTAATATGATATAGTTGTCTGGGTAATCCCAGAGACCTAGATCTTTAATAATTTTATTAGGGACGTTTTCAAGATCCATCCCATATGTTTCGGTTTGGGCTCTTTTGACCCAGTATTTTAGAGCACTAAATTTATATTTTATTTTTATTTTTTCAGGAAATCAAATACCTTTTGCGTGACACCTAACAGTTTATTAAGATCAGAGAACTTATTAGGATGTGGGCACCTGACAGCTGGGTGGACAGCGCTTCGGATTCATAGTCCAGAGGTTCCGGGTTCGATCCCCGGTGGAGACGGAGACAAATGGGCAAAACGTTTTTTTCACCCTGATGCCCCTGTTACCTAGCAGTAAATATTTACCTGGGAGTTAGTCAAAAGGTACCTGGGAGTTAGTCAGCTGCTACCGGCTGCTTCCTGGGGGGGGGGGGGGTGTAACGAAGAGGAGGCTTGGTCGGGGACCGGGCCGCGGGGACGCTAAGCACCGAAATCATCTCAAGAGAACCTCAAGATAAGATAGGATCAATTACCAAAGTTTGAGTTGGTTCTGGTTTCTCAGTGGGAGCAGAAACATTGCTCACAATAACTTGTGGCTTTAGTTTAGGCCACTGGTCACTGACTAGCCACTGAGGTCCATTGAACCACATCTCGGTACAGGCTAATTGAATTAATATAGGTCAGGCCTCTGGAGAGGTAGTCAGCTGGATTCTCTTTGGTGGAGTATATATTTTAATTTGAACCCTGCTGACAACTCACTGATTTCCTTAACGCGGTTACTCACGTAAGGAGTTTTGCTGTTATTATTTAGTGGCACCTTTGTGTGTAAGTTTATACAGGACGGATGTTCCCTGTTGGAGTTGCAGGTGTTAAAGGTTTAGGCGATTTAATTTTCCTGCTAACTCTTATGTTACTAGGTTTCTAGCTTTGTTAAATTGTATTTGCTCAAAGGACTTAATGTGGTCAACTACTACAGACAGGTATGGTTCTTGGACTTCAGTGGGATCTGTGACATTGATCACAATGACTTGTGGCTGGTTAGGCTACTGGTCACTGTCTATCCACCGAGGCCCATGGAAACTATCTCGGCTAATAATAACTGTATCAAAATCAGTCTTCGGTTTTATAGTCAGCTGTGTTCTCCTTGGTACTTATTTGCTGGAGGTTTATATGCAGCTCACAAATTTGTTTTTTTTTGTAGTATTGTTTGATGGCAGGCATAGGCTTCTTCAGGCTTAAGACTGTACCTGTGAGTAACACGCCTCCTGCTGACTTCCACAGGTCCATTTCCTATTGTTTAGTGTGTCCAGTATGGAACTGGTAGTAATAGTCTGCCCTTAAAAGTATTACAGTATCGCGTTACTAATGCGTACTTGGCACAGTGGAAACTTGGAGACAATCTCCCTCATGATTCTTGGTCTAGCTACAGCATCCGTTCTCGCGATAACAAACTCAGCCACTAGAAATTTGGCATCCTGTTAAGGCATAGGAGATGCTCATGCTGTACACGAAGACACTAATGCTTTGTTAGGATATCCTGATGCTGTATAAGATAATGATATATAAGAAGATGCTGATGCTGTATAAGGAGATGCAAATGTTATTTACGATGGTGATGCTGATATATAAGATGGTGATGCTGATATATAAGATTGTGATGCTTTAGGAGATACTTATGACATATAAAATGATCATGATGTGTAAAGAGATGCTGTATAAAGATATGCTGGTGCTCTATAAGATGTTGATGATATATATGATGGAGATGCTGTTCAAGCAAATGCTGATGATATATAATATTGTGATGCTGTTTAAAGAGATGCTGTATAAGGAGGTGCTGATATTCAAGAAAATGCTGATGCTGTATAAGGGGATGCTGATCTTGAATTATGAGATTCTGCTGAATAAGGAGATGCTGACATACAAGAAAATGCTGATGCTTTATAATGAGAATCTGATGCTGGATAACAATCCAGCATCACAATATAGTGTCAGAATGTATAAATACATTCTCAGCATACAGATGCTGCTGTATTATAAGGAGAAGGTGATGCTATATAGTGAGATACTGATGGTGAAATATAAGTAGATACTGAGGTATAAGGAGATGCTGAGGTATAAGGAGAAGTTGAGGTATAAGGAGATGATGAGGTATAAGGCAATGTCAATGCCGTATAAGGAGATGCTGATGCTCTATGAAGAGATGCTGAAGCAATATTAGGCGATGATGTTGTGTAACATATGAAACAGGATATTAAGTTGCTGATGCTAAATAAGGAGATGCTGAGGCAGCCTCCAAATGTGGGTTAGCGCTGCCTCCATAGAAGCGTTCCTGCTTCCTCAGTATAAGAGTTACTACTACAACTTACTCGGTCAATGTTGCCCTCTTATACAGTTCATTGCTGCCTCATTATATATATATATATATATATATATATATATATATATATAATGTCGTACCTAGTAGCCAGAACGCACTTCTCAGCCTACTATGCAAGGCCCGATTTGCCTAATAAGCCAAGTTTTCACAAATTAATTGTTTTTCGACTACCTAACCTACGTAACCTAACCTAACTTTTTCGGCTACCTAACC